ATTAAATAAATAATTGGTTAGTGTTTGTTCAATAAAGAAAAATACATAAAACATTTTAATTAGTAGTTTCTCACAAACCAAACTGCAAAAAGCCATTACTAATAATGTTTCATAAACTAGGACTAATAATGTTTTATAAACTTCACCTATGCGGCTGGTTGAGGGTACGCCCGGGTCCTGCGTTAATATTTTTCGCTGTTCTGTTGTTGTGCTGTCTTTAGGTAGCGGTTCTGCATCGTCCATTTCGTCCAATGATGCTGGTACCCCAAGACCTACAATCACTGGGGACTCTTTTCCTAATATATCTAGCACCATATTATCGACATCGTTCAATTTCCCATGAACAGTTTTTCTGGCATTATCCACTTTTCCCTTAAAATAAAGCATATTTTGAACAAAATATTATGAATCAGGGCCTATGATTCTAATTCATTTCCAGCAATTGAAATATTTTAATTATTGAGAATTGACACGTGCGATTACTAAGCTCAAACATAATATTTTGATTCCAACCGCTCTTACGTACCATTGTAATTTTCTTCATATTTTGCCATAGTGTTTCTCTGGCATATGTCCACTCTTTATCTGAAGGCATTAAACAAACACTTTTTGCAACATTTGCTAATTCTTTCTGTAGTGTATTTCGTTTCCGAAATATCTACTTCCCTGACTGTACTACATACCGCTTTGTTTTTATGTACTTCTTATGAAGGGTTTTTATAATGTCCGTTGGTTTCCTGCATTGTAAAAGCACATTATCTCCCAGTTGTTGTTCACATCCTTTTTGTAATATATATATTATAATATTATCGAATGGGGAAAGTATTTTATTTGTTACATAGTAACACCAAACCCCAAAAATAGCACTTTCCATTTCTCAACTTTGTCTGTTTGTCTCAACTTTGTTTGCTAGCCATAGCTACAAATGTTATTTCACTTGCAGTCCTTGCACTAACACGAAAACACGTTAAGACGTGTTACACCACGAATCGCGTTACCGAAAACAGCAGGTAAATAAATAAATTGTCTTGTAGGAACAGCATATATAAGTGTAGAATATTTTACTTGTTGCTACAAGTATATGAAATTCTCTTATGTTACGAAAAATTAGAATACTTGTAGCTATAAGCGAATTACTTGTAACTTNAATTCAAAAATATATATAAATTACCAAAAGAGAAATTACTTAATTCTAAAAAAGTTCTAAACCTCTTTGTCTGTAAAATGTCAGTCGATTATTCAGGGTAACTGTGATTTATTTTGGTTTGCGAACGTACTTTCTATATTCAAAGTTTGTTTTGATTGTCCTGTTATTTTATTCTTGGACAATTTCTTCTTTAACTAAATGAGTGTAACTTTAAGGAGGTGATTCCTCATCGAAAAAAAGATAGGATATTTCATATAAAGAAAGCATCACTTGTTAAGATACAGCCCCTTAAAGGGGGTACATAAAATTTGTATAACAATTTTTTTCACAAGCACTGAAGAAGTAACAATGTTGAAATTACCCTGATGTATCATACTACCAAAAAGACAGTTGGCCAGAAATTTATTTGGTTTACCCCATGCTTGTGAGGGGTGGAAAACGCAACCCCTAAAATTAATTTTCAATGTAACTTTTTGTCTTATTATTTGTTTACCATTTGAAAATCCATTTCCAAAAGCCTGTTCCATTCTAAACAAAAAATAACTCCTGGGTTTTTTGCTCAAAATAAACTACTTCGCAGCAAAAAATTATTTCAGGAACAACTACAGAGATACATCGTCATAAATGCGAAAATACGAAACTAATCTATCTAGTAGGTCGCTATTAGCGATAGTGACAATTAAATTGGTATGACGCTATCAGTTTGTGAATTTTCGAAATTGAATTAATACTAATTGTGTGTTGTTGTTCTGTTCTTAATTTGTTACTTTAATTATTCACTTGTTATCAAAAAGGCATACACAAATGACGAAATGGCTGATATGCATTACGTTTACGGTCTGTCGCAGGGGAATGGGATAGAAGTTTCTAGAAGATATGCTGAAATGTAACCTCAACGGCAGCATCCTTCACATAGAATATTTGCTCGACTTCAACGATTACGATAATATGGTTCATTCGACAAAAAAACGCAGAATTGTGGTCGCCATCGAGAAGTACGAACACCACAGATTAAGGTAGTAGTACTTAATTTGATTGAAGAACAACCTACTACCAGTACTAGAAAGATTGCTTTCCAGCTCAATGTTGATCATATGACGGTATTTAGAATATTGAATGAACAACTCTTATACCCTTACCATCTGCAACGAGTACAGGCACTGTTACCGCGAGACTTTCCGAACCGTCTTGAATTTTTCAATTGGATGCTGAAAATGATTTGATGAAATTGTGACTTTCTGAGGACGATAGAATTCACAGACGAATGTAGTTTTTCTCGGTGCAAGGTTATCAATTTTCATAATTACCACATATGTGCTGATGCAAACCCTCACCCTATTGTCGAAACTAACCATCAAGGACAGTTTTCTCTTAACGTGTGGCTCAGAGTTATTGGAGATGATTTAATTGGGCCTCATGTTCTACCTCCTTGATTAAATGGTGAGGCACACGTTCAATTTTTAAGAGAAGTGCATCCAGTACTGCTGGAGGAAGTTCCTTTGGGCGTCAGAAGGGATATGTTTTTTGCATGATGGTGCTCCCGCCCATCTCAGTCAAGTAGCACGTCAGCATTTTTCTGAAGCATATGCAAATCAGTGGATAGGTCGAGGAGGACCACAGAACTGGCCCGCTCGATCCACGGATCTCAATCCTCTGGATTTCTCTATTTGGAGCCATTCACAGCATTTGGTTTATCGTACTCCTGTTCGCGATGTAGAGGCCTTAAGAAACCGCCTCATCGATGCGTGCAGGGTAATCAGAGAGACCCCAGGAATATTTGAGTGAATACGTGGCTCAATGCGCCGACGTCTAGACGCATGCGTAATGTCTGAAGGTAGACATATTGAACATTCACTATGATTTCCACATGTTGTGTGTTTTGTTATTAATAAATTAGTTTTGTTTATTACCCTTTAATCGTTTGATGCAAGTACTTACTACAAAATAACAATAAATCCAGTTCGATTTATGACGATAAATCTCTGTTGTTGTTCGTAAAATAATTTTTTGCTGTGAACTGTTTTATTTTGGGCAAAAAATCCAAGATACATTTTTTGTTTAAAGTGAAGCAGGCTATCGAAAATGAATTTTTTAATGGTAAACAAATAATAAGACAAAACGTTACATTGGAAATGAATTTTAGGGGTTGCGTTTTCCACCCCTTAAAATCATGTGGTAAACCAAATAAATTACTGGCTAAGCGTCATTTTGATTATGCAAAACATTAGGTGAATTTCAATATTGTAACTTTGTAAGTGCTTGTGAAAAAAATTATTATACAAAATTTATGTACACCATTTAAGGGGCTGTATCTTAACAAGGAATGGTCCAATGAAGTTTCTATATATCAAAGATCCTATCTTTTTTTCGGTGAGGAATCACCTCTCTGAATGTTTTACTCTTATTCTGTTATTATGCATATATTTTATTTGAATTGGAATCAGTAAATTCCTTGTTTCCTGCAATGTTGGTGTGTGGTGTGAGTTTTCTCACACTGACTCGTTGATATTTCACTGGAACTGGGCTTGACAGGTAGGTTTTCACTAAATGTACTTCTTATTAATAGTATACAATACAATTATGTTCAATTCTCAACTTTTCTCTTACAATATTTTACAAATTTCTGGAGACAGAAAATTTCCCGTGGCGTTCACCTTCGTCGCCTTGAGAAGAATCCACTTGTTGACAAAAAAGTTGAAAATCTTATAATTCCCTTAGTTACCACCTCTCAATTTTAATAACTACAAATTTTCAACTTCAATATCGGAAAAAGTATCTATTTTATGATTTTCACATCTGTTCTTGAATTAGGATACATTTTTATTTAACTATTTTATACAGAAATAGTTAACCTCACTTATGTCTGAATATAAATATTTTTCAAAAGAATCACTTGATGTCTGTATCTAAGGGAATGGTTCACAACAATAATTATCGAATTTTTCGTCATTCCTGAATAATTACAATCAGTTTATTATGTTTTTTTCAATTTTTCATAACAGATGTCAATTTGATTTCATTTGACATTTATTTATAACCTATATCGGTTACCTGTTTTTTAAATTCAATGAATTTTGGTGCACAAATCTTGAAATTTAAATTTCCCACTCTTTTGTATTTGTTTCCTGCCAAGTCCGTGAATTTCCATATATGTACAGGGTGTCCTCGCTGTACTTCTGTATCTGAATTTTTTTGTGATGTTTTGAAAATCTCTACACATTGTTGTTTTTGAGTCATTTTATAACAGGATGACACGTTCAGGTAGAATAGTGCCTAGAGGATGACAGCACGACCAGCTGTCGAAAGCGCTCGCAGATAATCAAATAGAAGTCATGGAGCTTCAAATCCTTAATAGTAAAATACTGAAAATAAAGAAAAAATTAGTTGCATCATGTGGCACCAAACATCAGATGAATATGTCAACAGGGGTCAAACTCCAATTACTAAATTTTATCCATACAGACAAACAAGACAAGCTGAATAAAAACGTTTAATAACAGCTCACATCAACTCTTGAAGATGCAGAGTTTCTTGTTAAATCAAGACTCGAGTAAAGTATTACAGTTCTGGTATTTTGGAGAAAGAATAATTAGATTCAACTAGATTGAATAATTTCCCAATGATTTACAATGTTATCCTTCAAGAATGATGGAACGAATTACTGAGAAACATTTCATTCGGTTTTATTTGTCGATATAATGTTTTCAGATGAGAAGATCACTGTATTAGCTTTGGAACTACTTCTTTCTGATTTTCATTGAATCACTTTCACCCTTCAAATTTCTCACATCTGACGATACTTGATGTCCTCACAACCTCTTGCAACTTGATTTCAATTCAATTTTCTTTTCAGAGAGGACAGGCAAACGATGGCAGTGCCTCATCGAGTTCATCAGGATATTCCAGCAGAACTCGCCCAAGTAAAGTAAGTATTCGCTAGTAATTGTATTTTATGTGAGTTCGTGTGTTGTGAGTTTTAGGATGGAATGAGTTTTCCCTTTAAAGTAACTTCTTCAAAGGGACTCAAAGGATTACCTGACGGTAGTGGCTTTTTTGTGAGATTTAACTTGTTGCATATTTGAGAAGTAGTTGATGTTACAGTGAAGAGATATTAATGTGTATAACCCATGATATAGAACGTTTTCTGAAAAACATATGAATGCCACTTTCCACATCCAGTATGAGTGAAGTTTTCTGCGAATGCAAAATGTTGAGACGGTTTCAGGTTTTGGATTCGCAAAGCTAAAAAGTCTTTTTACTCTAGTGAGAAATTCTATCGCTTTCGTATCCAATTTAATTGTAATTATGGCTTAGTATTTTGCATATAGTGGCTACCACATCAGAGGTTACTTTCATTCAGAAATATTTAAAATAAACATTCTTACTGTACATTATCCGCATATAACTCCGACGGCATAGGCAGCACAGCCCAAGATAGCCCTCATGGAGCAAGAATTTTTCCGACTTATGTAAAGTTTAATCTAAATCTGTCCAGTCGTTTCGGTGTGAAAGAGCCACACATTTATCCATCCTCACAAACTTTCACATTTATAATATTAGTATAGATAGATATAGATGAAGTATAGCTTTTGTAACTCAGGAGATGTATTTACAAATCATAAGTTTGATACACTTCCAAAATGCACTAGATATAAAGTACCTATGAAAATTCGTACTCGTATAGTGAATTCCAGAGTAACACTGATGAAACGTTATATACATATCAACGTAGCTTCTCACTCACATGTAAATACATTACAGACACATTCACCTACAAAAAAAAAATTCATATTTTTGTTTAGATGAGTCTTTCTATCAGTTTGGTTCAATGTTTTGAATTTCAAATTTGTCAGTAAAAAAAATCAAAACCACTTTGCCTGACTTAACGCTAGTTCTTTTCTTTCATTTTTGTGAATGTCTGACTCTCTTAAATGATATCAACCCAGCAATGCAGTAATAGAGTAATAATTGTGAGGTTGCCAAATTTTGTATTATCAGTTCTACTAGGTATCCGTTATTTTACGAAGTATTTTTCATCAAATGATATTTTTTGGGAAAGTCGATGTTGCTTACTTTTTCTTGTGTATTCCACCTTTCACAAAGCTAAAGTCTGCTTGGAAAAAGTTTTAGCCGGACTATCCCTATGGACATGTCGAAGGATTTGTTGTGAAACTTGGGGTTGAGGTACCAAACCAATCCGTTGGATTTATGTGATGACTGTCAGACCAATGGTCACTTATGGTACAATGGCCTGGTGGCCGAAGGCTTTACAGAAAACGGCCCAGGCGAAGCTCTCTAGCTTACAGAGACAGGCTTGTCTGGCTATCGGTGGTGGCATCAGTACCACACCGTTAGCCTTCTAGATCTACCTCCTCTCCATATTTTTGTGGAGAGAGAGGCTAGATGGACTGCATATAGACTTGTGGGCTTTGCCAATTGCATAAATCAATTCAATGCAGAGTGCAACAGACTGTTGGTTGACACTGCAAGTCACAGCATTCTGGAAATGACGTCTGACTCAATGCCTCCAACTGCCAATTAAGAACTGCCTTAAAAAGTAATGTTCCCGAATAGAAAGAACTGGATCTTCCGGGAGAAGGAAATATCAAAAGCAGATAGTTGTTGGTTCACAGAGGAATCAAAAACACCTTCCGGTTCTGGTGTAAGTGTTTTCAGTTGCAGACCAAGGACAAAGATATTAACTTGCCTAGGAACCTATGCGACTGTATTTCAAGCGGAAATTCATGCTATTGATTTGCGTGCGTAGAGATTGAAAGAATCGAACCTCATACACAAGTCAATAAAAATATTTTCGGGCAGTCAAGTGGTGTTGAAAGCTCTTAGCTCCTACCGAGCAACGTCTAAATTGGTAGCAAATTGCCAAAAATTAATCTCCCCATTGCCTGGAAGGCAATGAGGCTGCTGACTACCTTGCAAGGAGATTGCTGCAAACAGCTTCATCGGACCGGAACCTGTCATTGGCAGATTTATGGACTTTGGCAGAATCTTCCAGGAATCTTGATACCAAACAGTTGTTGGACTACAGTAGGGATGAACTACGATGTCTAACATGCCTTCTTACAGGTCACTGTCATTTGAATCATCATATGCAGAGACTCTGACTGTCGGAAGGCAGTGTGTGTCGCCTCTGTTCGAAAAAGGATGAAACAGCACATACTTTGTGCCTGCCCCGCTGGGGACCAAATCAGGTTTTTAGAGTTCGACAGAGACGTACTCTTACCATTTGACCTGAACGACCACTTACCATATGAATTATTCGTCTTCGATAAGAAGCTGGGTTTATTTGGTAAGGTGTGAATAGGTGTGAGCCACAATAAACCGTTGCGGGTTGCGGTGGAGGGTAGAATAGACCCACTCACTCTGGACCTAACCTTATCTAACCTAATACTGTGTAACGTAGTATGAATATTGGCATTATCTTCTTACTTACAGGAAGATACATTATGATAAGAATGATTAATTTTTCAATCCCCAAACTCTCAGCTGAAATGTGTATAGATTTAGGCATCTTTTTTATAAGGTGCTTATAGAAAATCAAAAATTGCAAATGAAAGTTTATTAGACGGATTCCATCACATAGGAAAATAGTTCTTTGTGAGGTACGAATATATCAATAACGCAATAAATTAGAAATGTATCAAGTACCAAGAGTATAGGAACCGATGAAATATATAATATTCAAAAATATACAAACTTTTTCACCTAGAGAAAGATTACATTTTATTTCGTTCATCAAATTTATACACAAGCGTACAAATATTCATGTACATGGTTGGTCAAATGAGTGCTTATTAAATCATGATAATTACAAATCATTCCACAAATGATTGAAACACTGAATAAACATGATTAGCAAATAAGCATGAACAGAAATCCACAAGGGTTATACCCACAAATATGGATAAAATCTAATCAACAAATATTTAATTACACAAATATGTTGATGAAATTTATTTGTCGAATAAATGATTATTGGGTAAATGACATGTGAGAATCGAAATTTAATGAACAGTACATATGTTTTCGAAAATATTCCTTTTTTGACAAAAAGGACATTCAAATCCGCCAGTCAATACATAACGCAGTACAAGGATCAATATTTATTCATTCATATCATATTTTTAGAATAATACACATGCTACATCATCACATATATAGTAGGATCAAAAATTTAGAAATGTTCATTTTCAACGTTTGTGATATTTTACCATATACAGGATTTTCCACAATTCATCAAACAAAATCTAATTTCCATTTGACATTTTTTGACGTGATCAACCTCTGTAGACTTCTCACACATTCACTTTGCTCACTTGTTTTTTATAGTCCTGAACGATTTTTTGTGGTTATAAAGTACACACATCAACAGGGTAGGTATAGTCGAAGTAATCTTCATTGTGAATAGTTGAAGCTATCGGCATTTCAAAGGCCAAAAACACCAATACAGAGAAATAATGCCGTACCAACTAGTCCACGTGGATTGAAGAATCGTGGAAGTTTTATGATTGGCTGAAGAGTCATAAAATCGAATTTGAAGTCATGTCATGGTGACGAATGGAATATGGGGATGTGTATCGCCGTTGTGTAGTGAATGTTCACTTCAGGAACTGATCGCGATTTGCCTGTTGAAATTCGATATTGGTGCAGTTATTACTCAAGATTTTTGTCATCTGTTTGAACTTAAGATTTTTGTCATCTGTTTGAAATGTGGCGTCCTTGGATAAGTACTAATAGTAATAACGAGTGTGATAACAATGCAGACTTTTTCCTGTGTAGTGATTCCAATAGCGCTGGTGAACAATGCGAAAAAGAGATACTAGTGAATAAGATTCGGATGCCAAGGAAGCGGCTGAACTAAGAATTTTAGGAGCCAGTGGCACCTACGTCCTGATGACTTCGACAATTGCGGAACTAGCCAAAGGTTACACCCATGCTCAATCCTTAAAGAGATGGGACGAAACCAAAGGATGTAATCTTGCCAGGATCATCTTGGGTGACCCTGGGAAGCTGGCGCCGAAGAAATATTTAGCAATGACCGGGAAAAATCTACACCTAATAATAGGATTTCTGACTGGTCACTGTCAACTAAGAAAACACCTCCATAATATGGGGCTGGTGAACACACCTCTATGGAGGATGTGTGAACAGGAAGATGAGACTGTCAGGCATATCCTGTGCCCGGAGTTTTCGTCAATAAGAGAGTGTGAGTTCGGCAAGTCTTGGCCTACACCTGCCAATATATAGGAGATGTCTTCCTGGAAAGGACAGGATGGACGATGACCTAGGAGCACAATGGGTCACATGTGGCCTAAGTACTGTGGGCTTACACTCAATCCAAACGGCAAATTTTCTATTTGGACGAAACTTAGTATGCCTCACGACACGATTACGAAAGAGGGGACTGATGGTTCGAGAATGTGTAAGCCTAACATGCTTGCAAACAAAGGATCGCGACAAATTATTGTGCGTTGCCGAGGAAGTAAAGGATGGGTTTACACTGTGGGCTTACACTCAATCCAAACGGCAAATTTCCTATTTGGACGAAACTTGGGATGCCTCACGACACGATTACGAAAGAGGGGAGTGATGGTTCGAGAATGTGTAAGCCTAACATGCTTGCAAACAAAGGATTGCGACAAATTATTGTGCGTTGCCGAGGAAGTAAAGGATGGGTTTCAAAACATTTGAAAAGTGGAAGCTAATATTATTGAGGAATGGTTTGAAAACACATTGATCCCAAATTTGGATGCGAATAGTTGACAACGTTTACTATCATTCGCGACAGCTCATCAAAATACCGAATGAAAATTCTAGGAAAGATAAAATACAAAGTTTTTTAATGGATAACAATTTGTATTTTCAGGTTTTACAGACTTGAGGTTTTACAGACAAAACCATTTGAAA